CATAAACACATTTCATTACACCAAATAATGTTCTTTTTAGCAACATCATATGACCCCTTTAAACTACTTCAAAGTTCGCCTTGATTTAAAAAAAATTTTTATAGATACAATATTGTTTACATTAGCTTTAGATAAAGTACAGTGTCGCATTAGATGACTTTGCTTGATATGCATCAAATACATGCAAAAACCAACAGTTGTAGACGTTTTTGGTTTATTAATCCATATTTCTTTGTTTCCATGTTGTAAAATTAGCTGGACACAAACATACAGCCATGATGTTTAATATATGAATAACATACTAGCAGTGGACAAGTTGAGTTTTATTAAAACACTGATTTATACCATGAACATACATTAACACATTTGTGACTAGAACTCATTCTCCTAAAGATAGACATGACAGTACTGTGTGGCTGTGGCTTCTGAGGGAGGAGCCCAAAGCAGAGGGGTGTGGCTGAGGTTATATGCATTATGACATCACAGGAAGGGTTCGATGTCCATATCTATGGCAGAGCAGGGCATGGTCAGCTCAGAACGACTGATGACATCAGGGTGAAGGACCCCGAGGTGTCCGATGCTTTTGCCACATGAAAAGATCTCAGCACAGCGGCCGGGAAAGAAGGTGGAGTCTGTAAGAAAGATGACAGAAATGAAATTAATTAAATATGAATAATATGCACCGAGTTATTTCAGTATGTATTATATGCTATTACAGTATTTATTAAGATTTTGAATCAGCTTTTAATTGTATATTTTCAGTTTTTATTTTAATGTTAAATTAAATTTTGTCTATTTTTTTATTCTGCTTTATTTGAATATTTAGCTTTCATTTACTTTTGAGTAATTTTAGTACTTAAAATTAATTTCCACTTTTTCAGAATAAAGTTATTTTGAATAGTTTTAGTTAGAAATAACAACACTTAAAATGCACTGATGAATCATTCACAATAAGACCAGGAACATGAATCAAGTAATTAAATATAGGGTCCATTTTTATTTTATTAGACTTCAAATAGATTCTTCCATCCATCAGGTGGAAATAAAATTGGAAAACAGAAATAAAAACGTAATAAAATTAATCCAGTAATGAAAAATGTTTCAGTAATGAAACACTTCCTACTTTGATTTTATTTTTGCAGACCTACTGCAAGCACATATACGCTGTTAAATATTAACCACTAAAATAAATCTTTGAATATGACTCAGGTGCACAGACGGATCACAGGAAGGACACCATGTCGACTTTTAACATTTATGACTCACCCTCTGCCGCCTGGATGTGGTATCCTTGGTTACGGCCCGGTTTGACATCCAGCAGCTGCATGACCCGGTCCAGAAGTCCATGGATGACTTCAAATCCCGGGCTCTTGTTGTAGTAAACGGCACAGAGACGCCTGTTGTTACGGGCTCCTACGTCTGCCAGACACAAAGTTCAGTGATTGCATACTTATTAACATGCATTACGTGATATGAGGACATCAAACACACCTTTAGTTTCATCCTTCAGGACGACGTCTGAAATCTCAAACAGTTTGAGAGGAAGGGGCATCTTCCTGTTGGCAGCGAGCGTCTTCAGGAGTCCAGGAAGAAGACAGGTACGCACCACCTACAGGAAAGTACGGTTTAGTTAGTCAAACCCTAACTACTAACTGATTTAAACTTGTGAAAGCACTCACTAGTGGACAAATGTGAGAAATGCCAATCGGAGGTGTCAGGATTTTTGTGGGTACCTGAAACTCCGCGGTCTTTGGGTTGGAGATGTGGACTGCTCTGGTTTCGACAATGTTTTTCCTGAGTTTATCTGCGATATCTTCTTGTGAGCACTGCAGAGAGGGGAAAAGACTGTCACGTTATGGAAAAGATAACACAAAAAAAACACATTTGTTATATTGTTCTCGTGGCTGTTTACAAAAACAAATATACAGCACAACCAATGTTATCATTTGTTTTCAAATCAGACTTTAATGAGCGAAAATTTCTATTTTTAAGTGCATGTTATTGATTTTTAGTTTTAGATTAATCATTGAATTCATTGACTGATTCATTGACTTTTTTTAAACAAATTGTCATCACTAGGTTTCTGGATTACATTTAAAAAAAATTATTATTCAATAATCCATTATACTTGGATGTCCGTCACACTACAGAAGAAAATGAATGAATGAAAATGCTTTAAATTAACTCACAAACTTATGATTTATTAGTTTGAATCAGTTTGAAAAATTACTTGTTGAATCTGTCGTGGTTAATCTGGTTATGACAGTCACCTTTTAAATGTTTATATTTCAACAGCGAATTGGAAATGTAATTTTTTGAATTTAAAAGTCGGCATAAAAACTGATGTATGTGCAATTTAAAATGTTTGTACACAACAGTATTTAATTGAGGGTTGATTATTATATTCTAAAAAATAAATAGCAATGGACTTTGTTAATTTACACTTTAATATAACATTATAATAAATGTACCATCTGAGAGGAATCCCTGTGTAGTTTACTGCATTAGTTGAGATATTGTTTTCCTTAAGAAAAATTGACATGTACAGTACCTGATATTTATCCGAACAAATTGATATTGAATTGAATTTTAACGAAATCAAGGCCTTGCGAAATGGAAAAGATTAGATTTTTGAAATGTCTACCAAGCCCTAATAACAATGATCATTTAATTCTAATGGTCAGAGAGAGAGAAAAATAGCCATGAAAACTAAATGACAAATGTTTTCAGTTCAAGAAACTTTCTAAATGGACTTCAGGAAGGAAAACATCCAGAATATAAGAGAAAGGAGTGATTTCTAACCAGAGCGAATGTCAGCGCTTCAGTAAACCCAGCGGCTGTGAGATCTTGCCTCAGTAACTCTGTCAACTTATTTAGAGGGAGCTGCAAATATAAAAACACATGCGTAAGAGCCATAACGTCAGCACTGAACCTGATCTCAAGTTTAATTGGTCAG